TAAAGGCAGCACAATCCAATAAGAAGAACATTAAATTTAGCATTTAACAACATGAGTTTTTCAGCCTTGGTTTCCTTATCTGCAAAATTAAGATAATAAAACCTACCTCACAATGTGGTTAGAAGTAAATGAAATTATGACTTTGATGAGGGCTTTGTAAATTCTAATATGCCATAGAAATCACAGATGATTTCATTAAATAGCTAATATCAAACATAACTCTAAATCTATTCAAGAAATAGTATAATGCCTTTTATATAGTTCAGAAGACATTTGTGATATTATCTCTAGGGTTACCATAACAAACAAGAATCTTCTCTGAATATGTAAGGTATGTAAGTGTATTGAATATCACAGGTACTCGAGGCTCAGTAGATGTTGTTGAGAAAGCACTGAGCCTCTGACACTTTCAGAGCTACTTTAGAAAATTAATGTTTGTCAGAAGTAATGGGAAAACACTACAGGATTTTCCACTACACTCATGACTAAGTCAAGGATGCATTCTACTTCCACTACCATTTAACATTGTATTGAGGGTATTTTAGCCCATGCAATTAAAGAAGAGAAATTACTAGGGCCATAAGAGGTAGATAAGGAAGGAAAGATCTCTCTCTATTTTCAGAATATGTGATTATATATTTAGAAAACTCCTCCAAATGGAAAACTCCTCCTTAATGGAAAAATTACTTCAAACAACAAGAAAACTTAGAAAAATAGCAGTTTAAGAAAACAAAATTTGATGGTCTTTATATATATAACTATAGAAGGTCTAATGGATAAACAGAAAATAAGAAAAACACATTAAGCACTCCTGCAAAATACAAAAGGAGCCTTTATGAATGAAAAGGCATGCCATATTCTGGGACAGAAAGACTCAATATTAAAGAGAAAATTCTGCCTAATTTACAAATTTAATGCAATCTCAGTAAAAATACCGTCAAGTTTTGTTTTTTTAAATCATATTAGATAAGTTATTTATAAATCTAAATGGAAAGAATAGACAGGTAAAATATTCAGGAAAACACTTAAAAAGATAAGGAATATAGAAGTGGGAGGAGCTAGCTTTAGTAGGTGTTAAAATATACTACAAAATGATTACCTATAAGGGAAGAAGGTAAAAAGTGGAAGAAACAGAAATGGAAGCTACATTTTTCTGAATATACCTTGCTTTGCAATTTTGACTTTGAAACCATGTAAACATTTTATATAATTATAAAACAAAATTAAATTTGAAAAGCAATTTTTACAAATTTAAAACAAAGTGAAACAAATGAACTTGACAGTTCTATGGCCTAGAGGTTTAACTATGAAGAGAAATTATTTCAAGAGACATTAAAATATGTCTTAAGCCAGGCACAGTGGCTCATGCCTGTAATCACAGCACTTTGAGAGTTCTCAGGCGGGAGGGTTACTTGAGGCCAGGACTTTGATACCAGCCTGGGCAACATAGCAAAGCCTTGTCCTTACAAAAAATTTAGAAAAATTAGCTGGGCATGGTGGCATGCAATTGCAGTCCTAGCTACTCAGGAGGCTGAGCCAGGAGGATCACTTGAGTCCAGAAGTTTGAGACTACAGTGAGCTGTGATTGTGCTACTATACTCCAGCCTGGGTAACAGAGTGAGATGCTGTCTCTAAATAAATAAATAAATACATAGTAAAAAAAAAATGTGATTCAATACCCATAGAAATATATATGCTATAAAGAAAAAGAATTGAAAAATTTCAAAATTCATTTAGTTCAAAAATTCATTCACAAAAGCAAAAATATTATTATGCACTATTAGTTCTTATGTAAAAAGAACTCAAGAGCCAACTTGAAGGGGTTTTCATCAGCCAAACATGGGACAACTTAAGATCCCCCCAAAATAATAATAACTGGAATAGGTTGAAACACTCAAATATATGAAAAATTCATACATAATGCTGGAGGAATTCTTGCCAGAAAACAGACCCTAAATCTGATCAAATCCCAACTACCCAACTACCTATTTATAGGAAATGCAGAACATGAGAAATGCTATAGGACAAACCAACCTGGTTTCTTCAATAAGTAAATTGCAAGGAAAATGAGAGAGAAAGACAGGGAGAGAGAGAACTAACTGATTAAAAGAGACCAGAAACATCTCAGTCAGATACAATGCTTGTACATTGTTTAAATCTTAATTTAAAAGTAAATAAAAATATCTATTTTATAAATGAGAAAATCAGGCAAATATGAATAATGGCAGAATAATTGATGGTATTAAGGAAGTATACTTAATATTAATGAATATTAACTATAATAATAAGAATAATAATGATTTTATGGCTTTGTTTATTAAAAGTCTGCTTATTCTTTAGCAACACATACTGTAGTATGTTTGGATGAGATGACATGATTTGGGACAGGGCCACATTGTGACTTTCATTGGCGCCACACACTTTTGCCTTTATGGGCCCCTCTTACCAAAATAGATTTCTCCTGGGCCCTAAAAAGTTCACCGTTTTCTGATGTGAGAAAAAACTTAGAACATTTTATTCAATCTTTCAACTTAATTTATTTCTCCTGATTTTGAAAGAAATTAAAACATTTCTGTGGGCTCCTGAGGATTCAACAAGCCTCCCAGGTGATTCTGTTGCAGGCTAAGGTGTGAACCATTGGTCTCTATCAGTGGTTCTTAATTGGGAGTGATTTTACCCCCAGGGAACATTTGACAATGTCTGACTGACATGGGCAGGGGTGTGTGTGAGTGTGTGTGAGGGGGATGGAACACTGCTGGCCCCTAGCAGCCAGGGATGCTGCTGAGCATCCTAAATGCACCGGACAGTTCCCCACAGCAAAATCCAAATGTCAGCAGTGCAGCTGTGGACAACCCTGGTCCTTCCCTCCTCCCATCCTCCCTCCTCTCCCTCCTCCTCTCTCCTCCCTCCCCTTCCTTCCTTATTTCCTTTTTGTTCCTCCTTTCTCTCTCTTATTCTCTTTCTTTCTTCTCCTTCCTTCCTTCCTTCCTTCCTTCCTTCCTTCCTTCCTTCCTTCCTTCCTTCCTTCCTTCCTTCCTTCCTTCCTTCCTTCCTTTCCTCTCTCTCTCTTACTCCCACTTGTTCCTCTGTAGACAGCAGAGCACTCAAAAGACCACAAAGTGCTCCTTCTCTGACGTTTATTTATTCAATTACAGATAACCCTCTCTTTTTAGCCATTTAATAACTCCTCGTGACAGAGTCGATCTATGGTTAAAGGAGGTATTTATTATTTCTGGCCAAAAACGTTTCATTTATCTCCCTGGGAGTAGGATGATGGTGCTGCTCAGATTAGAGGTGATAATTGCCACCTATGCTTGAAGCTGCAGCTCTTGGCCACTCTGCATAAGAGCTTTCATGTGAAGGCATAGGACGGCCATGAATCCTGATTTTGGCATGAAAGAGTTTCCAGTGGGGGTTGAGGCTTGAAATCTCTTGGCTCTTACAGGAGATATCAGGTACAACTCTTGAGTTACTCTTTAAGAACATGGAATGAGCATGTCTGCTGACAGTTCAGCTGCAAAGCTCACATAAAATGGGTTTCAGCAAAGACAAAAAGTCACCTTAAAGAGGCTGGGACTAACTAATCAGATAGGATTCTAACTTGATTAATAGCATCTACCAATCAAAAGAATTGTATCCCTCAGAAGGTTTGTGGGGCAAAAGGAGAAAGGAAAATGTAAAGTTACAAAGGTAAATATCATCAGTGCCCATCTAACATTTTCTAGAGGATTAGGTGCCCTGAAAGAGCAACATGAATGTTTAGTTTGCTTGAGGTACCATTCCACCCATAGTGGAGGTGAATGCCCCCGGATTTCAGAGTCTGAAGCCAGTTTTGTTTCTATCAATCACAGCAACCTTATGATGATTGCCTTGTGTGTTTTGCCCATAAGAAAATGCCCTGGTGAAGCTGATATGGCTGCTGATTTTGCTTGATGGTCATGTTTTTTACTGAGCATTAATTAATTGGCCTTTCGGTTTATAGGCACCAGCCTCCAGTAAATTTACTTAGTCACCTTGAACTGGTAGAATCAACTGTGGGCCACTGACAACATGGGACTTCTAGACTTCTGAGACAGAGGGAGGTCCAGGACATGGACTTCAGGGAGTGTCTCCTGGATTCTGCTTCTGGCATCCAGCCCTTTGTCTTCCTTTGGTGATTCCTAAATGCATCTTTTCTTCCAACTTCTACATTCTTGTGGTGCTCAAAAAACATTTGTGGTAGACTGAAAAAATGGTCACAATACTTTGCAGCTTCTCATATCAAGAAGTGTAGTCTATCTCCTTACCCTTTGAATCTGTAATGACAATGTGATTTGCTTTGGCCTAGACCCTGGAGGAAGCAACTTTATGAGAGTTCTGAGCACGGGCTTTAAAGAGGACTTGCAGTTTATGTTTTTGCTTTCTTAGAACCCTAAGACCACTGCATGTATAAGTCCCAGCTGGCTGACTGGATGGTAAAAGCCATATGGCCCATCCCCCATTCTCATCATTTCAGATAACAGCCAGCCAACCCCAGAAGCAAAGCCACCCTGCTCATGGGTAGCTGACTGCAAATGCCAGAGAGAGTCCAAGCAAGGCTAACAGAAGAACCACCTAGATCAGCTCAGCCCAATTTTCCAATGCTAAGAATCATAAGTTAAATAAATGGTTCCTGTTTTAAGCTACTAAATTTTGGGGTAGTCTTTTATACAACAATTAATAATTGATACAGCAATGTTTTTATTTTTAATAACTCCCAATTATACTCTGAATTTATTGCCACAGTTTTGTCCCTGAGAAGCCATGGTCTTTTCCTCCAATTAGGATTTATTTTGGGCTATCACATGAGCTTCAGATAGCTCTAGCAGAAGAAATAGCCTGTTTCTTCTATGAAGATGCTAAGATGTGAAGGGTTGGGTAAATCATACAGAAAATTTGGGGTTTCCCAACAGTCACCTGAGGAGTAAGAGGAGGGTTAAATATATTTTAAAAATCGCATTTCTTAGACATAGATTTCTGACCTTCAGCCGCCGGTCTGGGTCTCCACTGCATAGAGAATTTACTGATACTTTGAATGATTTCCAGGCTGGGCTTAAGTTATTCATCACAACCTAGGGGAAAAAAATGAGAGGAGTGGTGATTGGGGGAGAAAATGCTTGACATTTTCACATTTCAACATTAAAACTGCTTGAGAAGCCATTGTGATGCTTATGAAAAGAACAATTGCCTGGAATAGGCATCTTAATAAAAAACTTGAGGTAGTAAATCTTTTAAGGGTGCCCAGTAAGCAGGTCATTATGAGCAGATCTCCTGCAGTCAGTGTTCTGGCTGTTGTTTCATGAATAATGACAATAGTATTTTCTAGCATGTGGATACTGAGGATGATCCTTTCTACATCAACAGGGGCAGAAATTAAGGAGGTGGGGCTGCTTCTGGCTGTTGATAGAGCATCCCCCGTTCTGTAGGACTGTCAGTCTTGGGGTATAAATTCCCTTCTCTTGTGGTCAGCAGAGGTAAGGACTCTTGGCAGGGATACAGGGTGAGGCAAGACAGTTCTACCATGAAAGAATTATGATGTGACCCTGGGTCACATCAGATTACAAGTCAGAAGAGAAGTTTCTGGAAGAAGAATCCCAGGAGCATACTTACACTAGCTGGTCCATCTTGATTAGAATATCTCAGAAAGGCACAATAGGGAAAATCTACAGACTATAGACTAAGTCTATAACATAGATAAACCCCTTTGAAACCAGCTATTAATCATGAACTTGGCTAAACCCTGCCCAAGAATCTACATGAGTCAAGTCTTACCCTACCATCACTATGGTTCACATATTTCAGTTTGGCTCAGAATGTATGAGCAGCTGCTATGTGCTTAGTGCTGTACTGTGTGCACTAGGGGAGGGGTTCCCAAAGCGTGGTTCCTGGACCAGCAGGAGCTGCAACACCTGGAATCTTCTTAAAAACACAATTCACTAGGCTCCACTCAGCCCAACCAACAGACACTCTGGAGGTGGGCCTCTTAGGTGATTCTGCTGCATAAAACTTGATAACCACTGCTCTAGGGGATCTACAAATAAGGTTAAACGGAATTCTGTCATATTGATTTTTCTTCTTACGAAGTTTTTAAGTTAGCAGAAGTCTTAGAATTTTTAAAAAATTAATTCTCTATCCAAATAACATGATTATTTTATAAGTGATTCCCTTTTCTACTGCATTCCTTACTAGAACTATGAATTATTGACTAGATCATGGACTCATCATCAAATTTCTTTTTATGCAATGAAGTAGAGAAATAATGTCTCTCTGTGACTTTGTCATGTCTCCTAATACCCTGAGGATGATCAAAGTGATAGTGAAAAGGAAAATTAGATAAAATTGTTTGGGTTAATTTAAATTTCTTACCTTGCTTTGAAATGCTAATAAATGAAGATGTTTCGTGATAACAGTTTTGAAAAACTCAATAACAACTACAAATTCCCTCTGAAATTAAAATCTATATGTGTGCATGTGTGTGTGTGCTGCCCCAAGTAAACAGTATTGCCCTGGTATTTATTTTGTATCTACTGAGAAAGCAAGAAAAATCAATGTTATGTTGCTTACTCATTGGAAAACTCTGCAATCATATGTCCTGTGAGACTCCAGAAGCCCCTTAGCATTGGGGTAAGGGTGGGGTAAGTTCCAGAGATTCTTGGGAATAGGAGAATTTACCAATATCAATAATGTTCCCAAGTCACAGTGGTGTATGCAGAGAAAAAAACGAAAAATAAAAAAAATAAATAAATAAATAAAAAATAAAATAATGAAAAGAATGATGCTGTCAGGAGCAAAGGAAAGGAGGATCTTGTGAGAGTAGAAGTCCAAAAATATGCCATCCCTTCTCCCTGATTAAAGCCCCCATTCATGACTATAGCAAAAGTATGAATGGATACCACTTCCAATTCTCCCCAATGTTTGTTTACTTCTCCCAAAAGAAGTTTATTTCAACAAAGGGATCTTTATGTGTAAAGATTGCTTTTGGGGGTGGGATGGGATGCCACTCAGGGCCACTGTGCTAGCTTCATCTCAATCTACTTTCCAAGGATTAAGTTCCAGAGAATCACATTGTTCTAATCTATAGCATGCAGTAAACATACTATTTATATTCAATTCTATTCATTTATTCTTTTATTAAACACATTAGGTGCCTACTATGTGTCAAATGATATCCACAACTAGTCCAGCTAAGACTATTTAAGTATTCCCTGTCTTAAGTATGACATGAAAAGTTCTGCTAATATCATCTACAACTCTGTTACTTCAGAAAAATGAATTGGATTTCCAATGTGGGTTAGTGAGAACATGGCACCCCCACCATCACCCTATGAAAGTCATGGGGGTTCCTTTTTTTTTCACCCTGCCACTCGTATGCAAGCAACAACTGGGTTTTTTTTCTCAGCTCCAAGACATTCAGCACAATTATGCCACTTCTGTTTTATCAATGCACTTCCCAGTCATACAGAATTCCTCTTGGACCAGCTTATAAATAAAATAAAAAATGGAGATTGGGGTTTGTTGTTGAAAGTGTGTGTGGTAGTGGGTGTAGGGGTAGGGACAATGAGGGAAAAGGTTTGGGGCTATTTGGAGAAAAAGTAGGGAGGATGAGAAGGAGATACATCTTGACCAAGTAGCAGCTCAGACAGGGCAGCTGTTAATATGATAAGACCGACATCAGTCCAGTGTATGTACTTTCCCTGGGGAGGCGGATTGGCTCTCCCCAAATTGCAGTGAAGCTCAGAACCAACCAACCTCAATTCAAACCTCAGTTCCACCCTTTGCTAACTGTCAGGCCTGGGAAAGCTACTTAACTTCCCTTAAATTCAGTTTCTTCAACTGTAAGATGAGGACAATAATAGTAATTATGTCAAGGAATTGTTGTGAGAAGTAAATAATATAATGCATGTAAATCACTTAGTACAATGCTTGGTACCTAGTCATCCTCATTAGATATTAGCTGGTATTCATGTTTTTATTATTAGTAACTTGCTGGCTATCTGTATTGAAGGTCAACAATAGAAAATGGGGGTTAGAGAGAGTTTTCTCTTTTAACAACTAAATTGACTTAAAAATGGCAGAGTCCTCTTGAGGACAGTGAAGACTCCGGGCCTGAGTATATATATATATATAGACATTAAGAAACATAAGGAGTTCCTCAAAACAGGTCAATTTATCATTTTAAGAGACAGGACAGCGTAGCTGAAGATGAGTTTTCTTACCTCAGTTCGGTGCACCAGCTGCTGAGTTGCATCATCATTCATACGAAAAATTTCCAGAAATGGGTCAGATTTGCTGAAGAAATCCTAAAATAGATAAAGAGCAATAAGTTGTTGTTTTTTTCCTCCTGCATTTGATTTAGTCCTGATCAATCAGGAAGATTTAATCAACATGAAACCCTCCTGATTTCCTATTGTTCATATGTAGAATGGAGCCCAGGCTTGTCAACTCTTCCTGCCCCAATTCTACCTAAACTCTCTTCCTCTGGCCCTGTAATTCTATGCATCACACTTTCTTGCTTTGTTCTTCATCCCTGTGATCCACTCTTGGCTAGAATGAAATTCATCTAAAGATGCATCTAAATGCATCTAAAGTAAGTAGTTGGTTGGTTGAGATCTGAAGTATTCTTCAAAGATCAATTCAAATGCCAATTCATTGAAAATCAATGTATCTGTTGCCTTAAACATGCTAATTATAGTCATAATTTAATATAAAGGCTATATAATGACTATAATATCTGGATCACCTATGGGTCTGTTTTCTTTTTCTTTCTTTCTTTCTTTTTTTTTTTTTTGAGACAGAATCTCACTCTGTTGCCTGGGTTAGAGTGCAATGGCGTCAGCCTAGCTCACATCAACCTCAAACTCCTAGGCTCAAGCCATCCTCTTGCCTCAGCCTCCCAGTTAGCTGGGATTACAGGCATGCACCACCATGCCTGGCTAATTTTCTCTAATTTTAGTTGTTTGGCTAATTTTCTGTCTATTTATAGTAGAGACGGGGTCTTGCTCTTGCTCAGGCTGGTCTCGAACTCCTGAGCTCAAACGATCCGCCCGCCTCGGTCTCTCAGAGTGCTGCGATTACAGGCATGAGCGACCGTGACTGGCCTGTTTCTATTATCTGTTTCTTGGTTTTGCCTCTTGATGTGCTTGTTAATTTTTGATTAAATAGTAGACACTGTGTAAGAAAGATTATAAAGATTTTTAGATGAGTCTTTAGCTTCTAGTAAGCAGTTGGAATGGGGGCAATCACCTGAATCTAATCAGGATTAAGCTATTGAGAGGTTGGGTTTCTTCAAAAGCCTTTAACCACTTTGGTATGAGCGTCAACTATAGTCTATAGCCACAGATGAATGTGCACAGCCGAGCATCGACTCTAGTCGGTAGCCACAGATGAACCGAGTGTTGACTTTAGCCGACAGCTGTGATATGACTTTTCTAATTTTTCATTTATCAAAATAAAATTGTGAACATTTAAAAATAATGTAAAGAAAACATATATGTATATGTTACCTATTCTGATTTACATTACCAGTAAAGCTGCCTGTAAAGTAAAACAAGCTTTCAGTGCTTTAAAGCTTTCCTCATCACACAAGAGCAAAAAGGAGTCCTCCTCAATGCCTGGCACAAACTATCGTGGGGACTTTCAGTGCCAGCTGTGGGCAAGGTTTCACGGCCGCGGCCCAGTGAGCACCGTACCAAAGTGGTTAAAGGCCCAATATATTTCTGATTCCTTCAGTTCTTGGATGTAGTCTTGCAATGGTTCTAACTGAAGGCCTGAGTGTTTATGAAGGCTGTTCCTTATTGACAAGTCTTCAGTGCCAATTTGTATTTGTGAGACTCTCAAAGGCACTATTTTTCTCCATAATCTCTTGTCTCTAGATTTTTGTTCCGTTTCTCTCTATGCTGCTATTTGCTAATTGGTGAATGCCTGGAGAGGGTAAGCCACTCAGACTAGTGGACTACTTCCCTTCTCTGAATCATCTGTGAGTCTTTAGCCCTACCTCTTAGTAGCCCTGAACTTCTGTTTTTCTTCCCCAGTCCCATGAAGCCACCAAAACTTCTGCTCAGTCTCTCTGTTTCCCAATAGCCATTTTCTGCTGGGCTTCTCAGCCTCTCCATCCAGTTATTTTAAGAATCAGCCTTGAGGAATTGCCTTGGGTGGACAATCTGCGCAGAATACCTGAATCACTTTGATGAACCAATTATTCTTCTCTCCAGTTTCTTGGCCCCTCAAATCTTGACTGCCTACAGCATTCTTACAGTCTCTCATATCTTGTTCATAGTGTTTATAGTTGTTTTCAGTGGGAGAATGATGTAAAACAAAAAGGTGCTTTATTGTTGGAAGTAGAACCTATCTCTATCCTTCTTTTATGCTTATTTTTTTATCCCAATGGATTATAAATTCTCAAGAGAGGAAAAATGTTATTTATTTTCCTTTATATTAAATATTTCTACTATTTCCTCAGCATCTTCCATGGTGTCTACATTTTAGTAGTACATAGTATTTGTTGAATGAATGAATACATAAATAAATGATGAAGAACATAAATAGCTGGTGTAGGATAGAAGGCTATCTAGGCAATAGCCTTAGTCACACACTCTTATTGTGTATCTCACCAAAGAGTTATTTTTCATAAATCTAGACTATAGCAAAGCAGAATTAAGCCCATATTTGCCTTAAAAGTCACCTTTTATTCCTAAAAGTTAGCAGCCCAAAGTCAAACACATTATTTCTTTTTGTGTCTTGTTTGGCCTATACTTTTAAATTTTCTCTCACTATGAGTGTCTTTACCAGCCATCCTATTCTTGAGCTCAGCAAAATATTTATAGAGCATATAGTGATCACAGAGCTTTGGTGCTTGATGTTAAGATACAAGGAGAGATAGAACCTGGCCTCAGCCTTCAAAAGTACCATCTAGTTTGGCGGTGAGAATATACAAATAAATATAATCTGTGGCTGAGTAAAAATGCATGAATGTATGAATGCATAAGGAATGTTCAGAGAAGAGGAAGAAATTGATGAATTTTGACTAGAAAAGATGGTCCTGAGGAGGATATTTCTAGGGAGAGAAAAGCCTGAGTGAAGTGTGAGAATAGACATAGAGGTAGATACCCCATGTAGCTTAATTGGATGGTAGCCTTAGGAAGTGTAGGAGAGGAGTTGGAGACAATGTTGGCAAAGTCAGCTCCAGGATGTGAAGGGCCTTAACTGCTCATCCAAAGTCTGGACTGGCCTGGAGAGGCAGTGGGGAGCCATTGAAGGATCTTGAGCAGAAAAATAAATGATTGGCTCTGTAACGAAGAATGTCAGCCTAGAAATGTTGTAGGATACCTTAGAAAGAGAAGAGATAGGCAGTGAGGAGAACTCTTTACCCCCTTTTCTTCCCTCCCTAGCCAGCCAGAAACCAAACACCCAGAGTCTGGGACATACCCTTGCACTCTATTTCTGAAGGTACAGCCTTCGTCTTGTCAAGAACACACAATGTCTTCTTTTATCATAAGCCTGTCTCTCCCCCAAAATGGCCCATTTCTCCACCAGACACACTTCTAGCTGATTCCCACCTCTATGAGTTTGCTCAAGACATTAACCCCACAGGCCTGTTTCTGTTCCTACATTCATCTTAAAAAACTGGAACCGTCCTCTTTCCTCCCTTCCCTGATGAATGTGGGCCACATTAGCTTGTTCCTATGCACCCTTAGGCTCTTGCTCTAGTAGCTTCATGCTTTGCTTCCTTAAATAGATGTCGGTCCCTCAGGGGATGTATTTATGAATCGCACTTAAAAACTGCTAACCACAAAGGAAGAACTCTACCAATTATTTTGCTTTTTCCTTTTTAAAACTTTTGTTACCATGATTAAAAATGGAAAATGTAGAAAAATGACAAAAATAGGAAAAAAAACCTCCATAACCTCACACATAATTCTCTAACCATCAATCATATTTTGTTTTTTTCCCCTAGTGTCTAGACATATTTTTCTTCCTTCATTTAAAAAAATATTTGCAATCATAATCTACTACAATTTAGTACCTTATTCCTTTTACTTATTGTATATTGCAATGCTTTTTAAATTTTATTTCACATTCTCTTTTAAAATATCATTTAGGATTAGCAAGAAGTTGTCAGGAAGACATACTGTAAATCAGGGAAAGAAAGAACAGATACAGTCTCTGTCTTCAAGTAACTGAAAATCCATATGCAGCACACTGGCTTTAGTATTAATTTCTAATCTTGACTCTATGACATATAATCTCAGTGATTTTAGGTAGATACTTAATTTATCCATCTCTTTTTCTAATCCGTAAATGGAAAGAACATCACCCTTTGCATCATAGTGATGTGGGAAAATTAGAGGACATGGTGCCTGGGAAGTGTTGAGTCCAGTGCCTGGTACATGGTAAGCACTCAACAAATTTTGGCCGCTATGACTATTATGATATCAATAGAAGAGAGAATGCATGGAGACACTTTGTAAAACTCTATACAAATATCAGGGATGATTAATGTTAAGAAAGCATCTGATTCCTGGAAACAAAACAACTCATAAGCAGCTCGAAAACATCAAGTGTACACTCAGAAACCCAGAGCTTCAAAACAACAGCTCTGGGTCTAATTATGTGGTCACTTTAATCTGGAATTTTCAGCTTTGCATGACCATCAACATTAAGATGGCCATTGGGACAGTTCAGGCAATGAAGATAAATGAATGAGGCATTTTACCAAAGTTCTGCTACAGCAAAATTCTTTAATAACATGGAAGCCATATTACTCTGCCCTTTTAGTTTAATATGAAAGCAATTAAATTAAGTGAGAGGATGATAAGCAATCGGGAAGCAACACATATCCACAACAGTGATTTTGAAAATGGAATATTGGACCTAGAAGAAATAGTCTGAAAGATGCAGAGTCATATCCAGGCTCTGCAGTTTACTAAACCTGTAATTTAGGGAAAAATTTTAATCTCACCATGTTTCATCTGTAAAATGGAAATAAAAATTCCCACTTTTGGGAATATGGTTATGAGTTTGGGGGATAATGTAGGTTAGACACCTGGCACCTAGCACATTACAGATGCTCAATAATTGTAACTTTCTGTCATGAATGCAGACTGGATTACGGTTCTTAGACAGGCATACTTGAACATAGTTAAATCACAGCACAGCAGGTACAGAGATTTACGTTGCTTTAGAGCAAGGGTCGGCAAACTATGGCACATGAACCAAATCTGGCCCACTGAATGTTCTTGTGAATAAAGTTTTATTGGAACACTGCCACACTCATTCATTTACATATTGTCAATGGCTGTTTTCATTCTTCAAAGGCAGAGGTGAGTAGTGGGGACAGAGACCATACGGCCTGCAAAGCCTAAAATATTTACCATCTAGCCCTTTACAGAAAATGTTTGCTGACCTCTACTTTAGAGACAGATTTGTTTATTTACAGCACCCCATCAAACTAGCATCATGGGAACACTAACAATGCAATATATAATGATGATTACTACAAATGTGGAGACCACCAGTGTGAGAATCTGTTTTGATACAACATGAATAATTCCTCAGGAAGGGAAGGAGAAAGAAGACTTTGTCATCTTGAATGTTCCAAAGTGATTATTACATTCCTATCTCCACTTGTTGGATTGATTGCTAACTATCTGCTAATGTAATAAATGTACTTTGGAAGTTAGAAAGTCCCTTTCTCCACTAAGTGAACTGCATTAACATTAGATAAACAAGTTTTTTCTCACAAACTAAATCTACTTTATGTACTGGCTCTCATTGAAAGGTATCTCTCAGATTTCAAGAGTTCTGGATTTCCATCCTGGGGAGATGGTTGCTGGTCTGCTAAACAGCATTGGAAGGCAAGTTAAAAATAACTATTTCTGTCAAAAGGAATGGGGCATTTCTCCCATCTCTGCAGTTTGCAAAAGTACTTAGCACTCCTTGATACACCCTACAACAGCATTTCTCAAACTCTTGGTCTTAAGAATCCTTTACATTCTTAAACATTACTGATGACCCCAAAGACCTCTTGTTTATGTGGGATATATCTACTAATATTTACCATATTATAAAAACTGATACATTTAAAAAGTATTCATTTGTTATATTATTTAAAAAAATAAAAATAGACCCAGTGCATCATAACAAAAATAGCATTTTAATGAAAAATAATTATATTTTCCAAATTAAAAAAATAGAAGAATAGTATTATTTTATAATTTTGCAAATCACTTTAATGACTAGCTTTTAGAAGGCAGCAGGATTCTCATATCTGATCTGTATTCAATCTGCTGTGATATCAGACATCCATCAGGTAGCCTCTGGAAAACGTCATTGTATACGTGTGAGAGAATGAGAGTGAAGAAAGAAAATAATGTTTAGTATTATTACAAAAATATTTTTAACCTCACAGATTCCCTTGAAAAGGTCTTGAGACCATGGACCACACTTGGGGGACTGATGCCCTATAGCACACCCTGACCTCCCCGCTCCCCGGCTTCCTACTTCTCTGAACTACAGGGGAGTATTACCAAGTCTTCCACTCAACATCTATTCATCAACTGTTAGCCCTAAAAGAAGATTTAGATTTTAGTCAGGCAACCTCACGGAGTCCCTCTTTGGCACTGACTTTCTGTGAGTGTGTGCCTGTGTGGCTTTAGGTAAGTCATTTCACGTCTCTGAACTTTAGTTTTCTCATCTGTAAAAAAAAGTGGTTAGATTAGACCAGTGGCTTTCTACCTGAGGTATTTAGATTCTCCAGGGGTTACCAGAGCAAGGGGATCCAGATTTCCTAATGCCATTGTCTGAACTGGATAGAGAATAAAAAATATTCTCTAGGAAAAATCCTACATATTCATATTGCAATTTTTAAATGTATGTAGAAATCAGTTACTTTCATGATACTCATTAACACAATAAAAAATTGAGAGCTTTATTCACCGCATAGTGACTTTTAGTCATGATATATTTTCTCAGTTAATAGATATAATAAGTTCAATTGATAACATGTAGGTATCTATATAATTATTTAATGCTAAAAGCTAGAAAGGGGTCCTCCTTAAGAACCTCTGGGAACTATTTTTCCAGCTGTAACATGAAATGATTGTACCATCTTATTCTGGTTCTATCACAAAAATAGTGTGGCAGATTGCATTAGTAAAAGATGACCACCACAAGTTCATGGTGTACATGCTTTTCTAAAATATAACTTTGCCACTGCCCCATCAAGCCATGGAATCTAATTCTCTTCTCCTAGAATCTGGGCTGGCTTTATGACTCACTTTAACCAACAGAATGTAGTGGAAGTGATGATGCATGATTTCCAAGGCCAGGTCAGAGAGGGCCATGGATATTCTGCCTGGTTCTCTCTGGATGCTCTTTCTGGGAGAAGCCAACCACCCTATAGGAAATGTGACTGACCCAGAACCACCATGCAGGCACTCTGGTTGACTGTTCCAGCTGAGCCCAGGCATTCAGTGATCTCAGGAGCCAGGCATGTGAGTAAATCTAGCTTGGATCCTCCAGACAAGCTTATCCACTAGCTGAGTACCAGCGAGTGACTTCCATCAACATTGTAAGGAGCAGAAGAACCACCCAGGTGAATCCTGACTGAATGGCTGACCCTCAAAATCATTAGATATAATAAAATAGTTGTTAATTTATTAGTTTTGAGTTTTAATTTAAGTTATTAGTTTCATTTTCTATGCAGCAATAGAAAACCAGAGCAGTAGTATTGCGTCTTTGGGTAAATCCTCAGACCTAGCTGAGCCTTTGTTTCCTGAAGAGGTTGTATGAGATTATCTTTGTGGTACCGTCTTACTGCTCTATTCTACAACTTTGCCTTCTTTCTACCTGAAACCATTCACTTTCCATTCCAAACCAGAGCAAGGGCTTCTGCTTTGTTGTCTGAATTACTAGGGAGTCTGGACAACACACAGCCATATTATGAAGGAACTAGGGTCTACAGCCCTGGGGTGATGAGGCCCAGCAGTGACTTGTGCAGCCAATGGTGGAATGGCCATTCAGAACCATATTAAGTGCTGAAGGGGACTCTTTCAGTTCTGTGAGCAGGTGTTCATTTGACTGAAGGGAAACTGTTCAAACATCCAAAAGCCAACAGGCCTACTAACAAACCCCCAAGTTTTTCTGCACCATAATGTAAGTCAATCAAAGGACAAATCAGAAGTACTTAAGAGACTGCTAATGGCATAGAGAAGCCATTATAAGCCATTAAGTGAGTAGCTTAAGACTGTTACACACTGACCCAATGGCTTATAATGGCACCAGGGAAGATGAATCAAAGCAGTTTTGTGAATTCTTCTGAAATTTGGGATGGTGTTGGAGGAGAAGGAGTATAATTGTTGTGAGGAGGTGAGGTTAAAAGCTCACTTCCAACTGACATCAATGCACATTGCACTTCCCAGCACCCAGCTCCTGCTAACGTCAAAAGGTAGCAGTTTGTGAAGGCTTCACACGGTCTGCTCAGGACATTAAAAAATCCAAAAACGTTTAGTGTATATGTCTTTCCTGATGTCCCCTGGCAGAATAAATTGCCCTCTCCAGAACATTCCGATTATATGTCACTTATCACGTTCTATCATGGTATAGAACATTCTATAGTATTTTTATATCATTTTTTTAAAAATGTATGTTTCACTTAGATGATTAATTCCAGGTTACAGATTGTGGTATGTCTTTTTTCCAGCACCTCAAGCATAACAAGCACCCAACACAGGTTTGGTAAATCAATGATGAATGAATGAATAAATGAACAAATAAAAGAGTGGACCAGTGAATGTATAAATGGGCTGAGTATTCTTTCTAGGTGAAAAGTGAATGAGACATGTCAGGATATAAGCTACAGTTTAAGACTTAAAACAGTTCCTTGAGACATTGTGTCACCATTTTCTGCCTAATGCCTATAAGTCATTGCTTGATAAAATGGTACTACATCCACAAAATTCCAATTCTCCAATTTTACTTTAGGAAAATGGAGCCTTATATAAATATATTTATTGATGTGATATGTTTTTTGACTTAAGGATATGGCTGGAGGGAAATCATAGCTATCATATGGTGAGGGGGAGGATACTCCTCTCTCCTTTTTTAAGGTCTGGAAAGTACAGAACCCTTTTTGTGTATATATGACTAACATGGCCTGTGATTGGGTAGAAGTTGTAGTATAATAGAAAGAGTATGGATGGAAATCAGAATGACAAAGGATTGAATCCTCACTTACTGGCAGGTTACCTTGGCCATGAAAACGTGCCTTGCAGACTTCCATCTATAGGGAGTGTAATTGACCAAGGGCTCTGGTGCTGTGCTCTGAAATCCATCCCTGCATTTGCCCAGGCTCTCCATGGGCTACTGCCAGCCAGTAACAGAGTGCATAGGAGACATTAAGGAAAGCACCTTTAGGGGAAAGATAGGACTCCCTGACAGCTGACTTTGGCTCTAGGACTCCCTGATGGCCTTGCTGAACTTTCCTGAGACTTCATGGAATTCCAGGAGACTTCTACCCTCCCCTGCTTTGCTCCCTCTGTCCATGTTAGGGTCAGATTTGCATTATGATCCATTGACTTTCCCAGACTTCCTTCTATGTTTCCTATATAGGCATTTCTCCTAATAAAATCCCTACATATTTAATCCTATCTTGGTGTCTGTTTCTTGGACAATCTGGACTAACACATGAAGTGACCTTAGACAAGTTACTTGGTCTTTCCTCATCGGCAAAACAGTGTTAATCATGTCTGTTACATGGGAATTGTACAAATGAATAAATGTGATAATGCACAAAAAGCTCTTAACCCTGTACTTGGCAAAGGTAGGTGCTTAATAAATGTCAGTTTTTTCCCCTTTCACATTTTCTCTTCTCCCTTGGAATGTCCCTAGCAATGTGGTTAGATCACATTTACGTGTGCACATCTGGCCTGTGGCATTTGGAAACAAATGAAGTTTTGGTATAATAAAATTGTCCTGTTTTAATTATAGTCCCTTCCCCTTATTATTAACGGCTTCTCAATTTGGGGGAAGACTTACTTTGCAGACCTCTCTGAAATTTTTGATCTGTTTAATAATGTGGGTTGAAAGGAAAAAATAGCTTCAGGGAGAAATTGGATTAAACCGTGTGTGCTCGCCTTATTACTTCCTTCAATAAGGTTAATGCCAAACACTTTACCTTGTCATCCAATTTTCGTGCATTGAATGCAAGCTCAACGTAGTCATCATTTCCAGATAATTCTTCAGCAATCACCTAAAGGAAAAAGCATCCATCAGCTACAGTAGACAGTAGACCCCTTAGCCCAGGAACCCCTGAGCAAATTTAATTCATGCTTGCTCCAAAGCTCAACAAAGAGAGATGTAGGGGAAGGAGTTTTTCCACAACCCTAGTGAACACAGCACAGCATTTCCAAGGGTTCAAGGGAATTCCCTGGAATAAACAACAGTAGATAACTAGATTTCATTTATGCTGAGCATGAGAGCATGGGAGATGGGACCTACGCTGGAGGAAGAGATAGAGGGAGCAGCAGTTACAAAGAGTTTCTTTCTTTCAAGATCACATGGCACTGGATGGTATTTCCATAAATAACTATAATATTTTTTCCCTTTGGGAAGTTACAAAGAGGGAAGAACAGTAATATTTTTCTACTGTTTTGAGTCAGACCAACAGGCAATGGGGGAATAAACTGGTCTTTGTGTCCTTTCCAGACCAATAATTGCGTAGTTGTCAAAAAAAGGTTCTAATTCCTATCTTTCAAAAGATTATTTCCTGGGCTTTTGGGGATAAGAAAGAGAGAGAGAAAAGCTTCTAAGCCCTGATACCCAAGAACAGAGAATTCCTGACAAAGATTTTGGTATAAATGAAGAGAAAATGCTGCCCATGAGGCTCTTTCATAAGAAGTTGCTTTCCAATATTTAATAGCCAGCGACTCTCAAAGCCTTTAGCAGAAATCGGTGGAATAAGTCAGGAGAAAAACAATAACAACAAAAGCAACAATCTAGGGCCAGTCTAGTTGTAGATAAGTTAAACCTTTTACAAATAATGTTAGGATTTTACCAGGTACTAAGGCAGCAGTTCCCAACCTTTCTGGCACCAAGGACTGTTTTCACAGGAGATAATTTTTCCACAGACCGGGAAGTGGAGGGATGGTTTCGGGATGATTCGAGTACATTACATTTATTGTGCACTTTATTTCTATTATTATTATATTGTAATGAAATAATTATACAACTCACCATAGGTTGGGGACCCCTGTACTAAGGGAACACAGCACATGGACACACTTATCACATTGGCTATGTCGAGATACAGATTTAATTCAATTTTACCTCCATTCTGTCTGAGCTCAATTATTCCATTGTGAGTTGGGTCTATATGCTCAGAGTCCTCACTGGTAGTATTCCAAATACTCTGGAAAACTTAAGTTATTTACATCTCATATTAAAGCTAAAATGGTTGTCCGAAGAAAGATAGACACAAAAAAGTGTGAGCAACTGAGGGTAGGGAATATAGTCCAGGTGTATAGGAAAAGCTTAAGAACTACCTGACAACCCAAGAACTATTATATTAATATTTTTCATTTGGTACTCTTTTATCCTTTACTATCTAAATGCTTTACACTCCATTTGAGTGGTAGTCCTTAACAATCTTGTGGTCATAGACACCTTTGGAAAGCCGACGATCTTCTCCATTTCCGGAAGCTTATAAAATTTCACGTACATTTTCAAGTGTTTTCCAGAAGTTAGAAGCCAAATGTGATCTAAGGATCCAAGATGAAGAGGAATATTTAAATATTTAAAATTTAAAAGAAGATTAGCTTTTTATGGGATGTGTGGAGAAAGAAAATATCCAAGATGTCTTAGAGAAAAGGTGACAAGATGAGGTTTTGTTCTTTTAGGGAAGAACCACGGAAATTTTCATAGCTGGGCATATGAGTATGTGGGCTTGGGAGTGAGCCCTTCAGTCCCGGATTTTAGAGCACCACTAAGGTCTTTAAAGACCCACGTGATTCATCACTGAATAGTCAAGAAGCAGCTTCGGCATGACAGTGTCATTGAAAATATCCAAGCAACAAACTCAGGTAAGTACTTGTGAGAATGGACACAACTTTCACCACTGAGAATGCTATTGAATTTTTCCCTTTAAAAATTTTCTTTTTTTACCTACCTTCCTTCCTTCCTTCCTTCCTTCCTTCCTTCCTTCCTTCCTTCCTTCCTTCCTTCCTTCCTTCCTTCCTTCCTCCTCCTCCTTCTTTCTCCTCCTTCTTCTTCTTTCTCCATTCTCAAGTTAAAAAGAAATGTTCAAAGGAACTCAGGAGGTTTGCCTCCCTAGCAATACAGATTCTCCTGGCACCTTTTTCTACCTTTCCCCCCCTTCTCTTTTTAAGGAAAGAACCACTTTTTTCCCCCTTTGTCCATATAGCCAGGTTGGACCACTTTCTCTACCTTCCTTAAAGACTCTAATATAAGATGTTAAAATTTCAAATACCATGAGTTCTATTTGAAAATTTAAGCTCTTTTTTTTAAAGAAATACTTCCAGCATTACCCAATAGAACATTCTCCAATGACAGAAATATTCTATAATCTGCACTATCCAATAGAGTAGCCACTAGCCATATGTAAATACTGAACACATGGTATGTGGCCAGTGTGACTAAGAAACTGAATATTTAATTTTAAATAGTTATATTGAAGTTTAAATAGTCATCTCTGGCCAGTGGCTACTGAATTAGACAGCACAGCTCTAAACTATTAAAGAGGAGGCTCTCCGGTCCTCAGGCAACAAACCAAGCTTGGACTAAATGTTATTAAAACAAAGTTTTAATTCTCAAAATAAATGAGACAGGGGTAGGTAGCTTTGATGATTTGAAAGCCCAAACAATTCTATATTCTCATTGTGCTCAATGACTCCATCTTTCTCTTCCACTAAAAACTATCTTGCAATTGCAGAAGTGCTTAGTAGAAATGAGTGACTTCAGTTTCAGATTCTTTTTCTTCCCCATTTTTCCTAAGGGTAGAAGGATCCAATTGTAATGTCAGGAAAGAGACAGAAGTAAAAAAAAAAAAGAGGTGACTTGGATAGTACAGCAATTATGGCATCAACTCCCAGTAGCCAGAGGGTCTGCTTCCCAAGTGACCAATTTGGACTAGCCGGCCCATCCCAGCCCATCCCACACCTGGGCAGATGGCTGCTTAGGGAGCGCTCACTCACCGTGATGGAGGATTTCCCTGCTGTGTTCCCATGCTTCAGCAAGGATTTGGACAGCTTTCTCTGGGAAACAATCTGCATTAAAGGAAACAAAAGGTGAAGATACTAGTCATATATCTGCAGGTCTATTTAAAAAAAAATTCTTTACAAAATTCTGCACTCACAGTTCTACTTGAAATGATGACAATACCTATGCAATACCTATGTCCATTTATGTTCCAAGGCTTGTCCTTTGGTCTCTCCCTTTTTTCTTTCCTTTGATGGTATGTGATATAAGATAATTAGTGAGTGAGGAATTATAGATAATTCAGTCAATTAGGAGGTGACTTAATTGTTGCTGAAGAATTTATATCAAAAAATATAGATGGGATAATGTTGAACATGCATGTTAAAATAAAATAGATAAAGCTTCAGAATGATCTCAAATTAGCATTAAGCCTCCATGTAAAGTGTGGGATGAAGAGCAGTGAAAGAAAGGAACCCAAGGTCCAAATATGCAGCTTCTGTGTCTATAACCTCTACAGCTCTCTTTTTAATATATTGATCAGGAAGCTATAAAGTAAGCCATCAGGTAACTGATGCTCAGATGAGCCCACAGAAGTAATTGGGGTCCTCTTCACGATTGAGTGTCAGTACACACATGCAATGACAACTAAAATCATCGTCGTATTGAAAGCTATTCTTAGCAGAACCTGTCCTATTTCCTTTTACCCCTCTTTCTTCTTTTTCTGAAGGAGAAGTTTGCCAAGGCATTGAAGCCCGGATGGGTAAGCCATGATTTCCTAAGGAGAATAAGGGTTTAAAAAATGTTTGTACCCCCATAATATTCTGTGGAAAAAAAACCATGCTCATACTTTGTGAGAACAACATCACCCATTGTTGTAGGAAGTTTCTATTTAAGATAGTTCCCAATGATCCTGGCTTCCTGGTATTCATGCTCTTGTGTAATCCCCTCCCCTTGAGTGTGGGATGGACTTGCAACTTGCTACTAATGCATAGAATACCACAAAAGCGATGGGATATTAGGTCACAAAATGACTCACTCTCCCTCATTGTCTCTCTCTCTCTGAGCCTTTGCTCTGGAGGAAGGAGTTTTCATTGCTGCTATTATTGTTGCCATCATCATCATTATCATCCTCATCACCAGGTGATTATTTACAGAGATATTCTTCCCTCTTCAGATCATAGCAGACTAAACATTGGGATCCTTAAATCCATTTGGCCTAGGGAAGTTCTCTGGACTTTTTTGTATTTGGCATTAGCCTACTCTTGGTATTTTCATAACTCTAACACAGAGACAAAACATTATAAGAATTTCAAAGAATGGGTGTCTCCCTGACTTTCATGCTGATCTCCTTTGCTCTTTCTTTGAGTAATATATTTACAGTATTGTTACTTATTGCTGTGTAAAAAAATTACCCCAAAACTTGACAGCTTAAAAAACCAAATATTTATTATCTCACAGTTTCTGTGTGTTAGGAATCAGGGTATAGCTTCTCTGGGTTCCTTGGGTCAGGGTCTCTCACAAGCCAGCAGTCAAGGTGCAGTTATCTCAAGGATCGACTTAGGAGAAGATCTTTACCAAACTTATGCTCATGTCTGTTGGCTGGGGACATCAATCCCTTGCTGCGTGGGTGTCTCTATAGGGCTACTCACACCTGGTAGCTCCTATCTAAGGAGTACGTACTATATGGCAGATGATTTATTAATTCCACAGATATTTGTTTAGCCCCCACTGTGTGCTATACTTGGTGTTAGGCACTGAGAAGGGAGTCGTAAGCAAAATCAGACTCCATGTCTGACCTCATGGACCTTACAGTTCCTCTGCAGGGGTCTTTCAGCAAGGCAAGTGGGGTAGACACATAAATAAATGACAAAACAAGGTCACCTGTAAGCAGTAGCCAGGTTAACATTTGACTAGAGAAAGGCGACATATCCAATTTCTCAAACAAATCTGGGTCTCACTAACCTTTTTGCCCATTGCCATTGTGTTTCATTCACATTGGTTCCCTACTCCCATGGGTTCAAGTGACCCCAATAGCCCTCTCGGCGCTGTAGTAACCCACTCGTGTTACTAGGTATTGGTCAACTGTCTTTACAGACTGTATCTTAGAAGATCCACTTTATCTTTATTTGAGGAATAGCAAGGGGGACTAAATCAGGAGAACCTGGATGGCCATAGTTCTCTTTCCTCACTCTTGTCTAGAAACACCAACATTTCCATTTGCAAGGTAGGAAGTGAATGCTACTATGTGCCAGCTCCTGCTTGCAGTGGCTAGGAAGATAAGCAATTTTCCAGGAAATATCCCTTCTTAAGAAATTGCCATTTGGGTATACAAGTGGCCAATCAAGCAGGCAACCATAAAACAAACTTGTTTTATGGCCTCCAGGCTTCCACCTCAGCTCCAAAGAATAAGTAATAATTAGAGTTTCAAATATTTCACTGTAATAGTGATGGACAAACACTGAGTTGCCATTGATGTTGCCATTCTTAGGACTGGTGGCCAGAAATAGCAGGGAAGCCCAGCTGGACTGGTGATCTATAGAGAAAAGCCTATTTGTGGCAAATCCCACTTATCATGCACACTTTGTTGCAGCTGTAGCAACTGCACCAGGTCAAAAATGCCTTAGGTCTTGTCAAAGGATGAGAAAGAGTGACAGGGACTCACCCTGGCTGTAGCTGACATTTGAGGCCAGCAAATAGCAAGCTCTGCCTGACATCAAGGCTAAAGGGGATGCACTTGTCAGAAGTCCTCTAATTTTATTCTTTTCACCCTGTAGTGGTGTCACAGCTGCAAACCTCAGTATTCAACAAAAGGGTGAAGTGCAGAAGAAGGAAATAAAAGTTGAAATACTCCTTTTAGCAAGGCTGGACCATAGAGACATTAGTACCATTACGTCCCTGATCCACATACAGATCTGGAAAGAAGCTCTTCCCTAGTGAAGTGGACAACAGCTTCTAACAGCTTGGGTCCTCATTTTTCAGGATAATGTTTCATCTAAATGAGTGAGAACAAAGCTAGGCAAATAAAAATCTTTTGGGCCAGTATTTCAGTAAGTGTACATTCAGCTAAACTTTCTTCCAAAGTCTTTCAAAATGGTCATTTTGGGAACTAGATAGTCATTTTTCATGAAATTGCTGTTACTGAAAATATATTCAGCATGTTTCTTTAATTGTTTTAAGACTGTTGCAACAATACATATTTATTGAACACTTTCTATGCGCGAGGCACTGTTCACAGGCTATAATGATAAGCAGAATCAGATTAAGAACATCTTTATAGTACTTTCACAGTGAAATCTCTCTTAGCCTGAATGAGTAATCCCCAAAGCATGATTATAGAACTTTTATTCCTTAAAAGATAAGTACATATTATATGAAAAAGTATTTGTGTAAATGTTTGGAAATCACAGAATTTAAAAAAAGCTTAAGATCTTCACATCAGGACACTAAGAGAGCTTTGGTTGTGAATCCCATGTTATCAGCATTCCTTACATGCGTTTGCCTCCAGAACCCTTTTGTCAAAGGTATGTCTAGTGTTCTGCAAAGTGCTCGTACAATTACTAAGACCACCATTACAGAGAACTAAAGTTTCCTGGTCACTCATTGTAGCAGACAGAGGAAACCTGCCCAGAACTGCTCAAACCTTCCTCTTGCAGACAGGTAGGGCTTCCAACAGCTACATCAGGCATCTTTTTGCCTAAAGGTTTTAGGCAAAGGTATCCATGCTTGCCGTCCACAGGTGCAGCGAGCTGGAAGTGAGGGAATTAACACCTCTTACAACCAGATCTCAGTCAATGACTGATGGGCTTGGGTGCACAAATACTGCAGCTCCTTTGCCTGGGTAGTGAAGGGTGACTCTGAGGTATTTGTTCTATACAGGGCCCTGAATTTTTCTAGTGAGTTGAAGCTCCAGTTGTTTGCAGTGGTGGTTTATTAGATAATACACCATTTATTTTATTGGCTGCTCGCTCTTTACCATCTCACTTCTCTGTTCCTGTCCTGCTGCTTCCTTCACTTCATAGGTTATCTACTTACCCTCCATTGTTTGTTTCTGGGGGAACACAACCAAGACATTTACTCTGTGTCAGATAATATGAAAAGCATGTCACACAAGTTATCTCATTTCTTGTCATTTAATGGTCAAACTCTCTCTTGTCCCCAAGCCATTGGGATGAAAGAACTGAGGCTTGGAGAAATCAAGGAATTTGTCTAAAATCACATAGTGTTATGGATAGAATTGTGTCCCCCCAAAATTCATATGTGGAAGCCTTAACCCCCAAGGTGACTGTATTTGGAGACGAAGCCTTTAAGAAGATAATTAAGGTTAAATAAGGTCATATGGGTGGGCCCTAATCTGATAGGTCTCGTGTCCTTATAAGAAGAGGAAGAGACACTGGATCACATGCACACCCGTTCACATTTATTCTCTCCCTCACTCTCGCCTCTCCCCCTACTCTCTCCCTCCCTCCTTTCCACATCCTTGCAATAGTGAATTGTGCTGCCATAAACATTCGAATGCAGATATCTTTATTATAGAATGTCTTTTGGTCTTTTGCATAGATGCCTAATAGTGCTATTGCTGGATCGAATGGTATTTCTGTTTTTAGCTGTTTGAGTTATCTCCAAATTCTTTTCCACAGAGGTTGCACTAATTTTCAGTCCCACCAGCAGTGTAAGAGTGTTCCTATCTCTCCACACCCTCACCAGCATTTGTTGTTTTGGGACTTTTTGATAGAGGCTAATCTCACTGGAGTTAGGTGATATCTCATTGTGGTTTTGATTTGCATTTCTCTAATGATTAGAGATGTTGAACTTTTTAAAAATATATTTGCTGGCCATTATTCTGTCTTCTTTTGAAAAGTTTCTGTTCATGTCCTTTGCCCATTGATTGATGGGGTTGTTTGATCTTCTTCTTGTTGATTTTTTTAAGTTCTAGATATATTCTTGTTATCAGCCCTTTATCAGGTGTGTACTGATTTGGACTTTCATTAAGTGGTAGGAACTAAGGAAGGCACGATGCTGAAGCTTTCTCAGCCATTCTGGGGAGAGGATGGGTGATGTGCATGTGTAT